AGCTAGTATTGCTTCTTCCAGAAAGTGTTCCTCAAGTTTTGCGATATAATTGTTCGCCAAAATGGCAACTAAGCAAGATCTCATCGCAACTTATTTTGTTTGTTCATAAAACTTACCATCAAAGGTAAAATAGGTCTAGTCATGTCCCAGATGGAAAATGTAACCATATTCCATCATCAACTTATGCCACCCACGATGAGTTAATCTATTTTGAAGTTGTACCTTCTTAAACGAATATATTATGAGTTCTGCCTTGAATGAATCCAAAGCGACTTTTTAGCGTCGTATAAATGAGTCATCGTCCAAGGAAGCAAGCTTAATTGAGGCCAGAATTCACGAAATATGCCTTGAATGTCTGTCCGGCAGCAAAGCTTCTTTTTGTTCTCCCTTAAATGAGATTCTCTTCAGCGATAGCTGTGATACTCAGATAGCCGAAGTGGCTTTAGGCTTCTACATTAGACCCACAATTGAGAAATACGCCAACGTTACCATGCGTTTCAGAAACCAACCATGGGTTTTTATTTATGTCGGCATTCCCAGTAGGTCCAAATGCCGCATTTATTTGGTTGAACTGGCAGACTGGCTCCGTATGCTCTAGACACTGTATTTGCTCTAAAAGATGCAATCAACAAAAGTCACTTGGCAAATTGTCTAATGGGCGTGCAGAAGCCAAGTTCACAGTTCCCATGTTAAATAAGCGACCGTATGTTGTGTTGTTGGAATAAAGGTAGTACCTTTGCTACTAGTGCTTCCACCAGTTCTGACGATGTCTTAAATAGCTTTTATCATCCTAACAAGGGTAGGTCTATATGGTGGTGTTTTTGGTGATTAAGATGGAGATGGGCAAATTGGTAGCGAATGGGGAAGAAGCGAAAACGATGCTGTGGGTGCAAGCGGTAGTGGTGGCAGCCACTAGTGGTATGGCCATGGTGGGGAGATTTGTTGGCTTTTGTGGTGGGCGTGATGGGAAGTATGAAGGTGAGACGAATGCTGATGACGGTGGTGAGGACTGACGACTTTTATGATGCTGCTGATGGTGGTGACGGTGATGGTGGGGAAAAAAAGGCGATGGAGAAAACTGCCAGACGGAGGAGCAAAGAAAAGACTTCGTTTGGTAGGAAATCATGTAAACCCGAGGGAAAGACCGGAAAATGGATGGTTGATGTGTAGTCAATGCGGAAAGTCGGCCGCGGTCGCAGTTGTTGCCGCGCCAAGGACACACGGAGAGTTAATCATCTGATATGAGGTTAAGCATAGGGGAAAAGTGCAACACCACATGAGAAAAGAAGAGTGGGAAAGTGAAGAAAAAAAAGAAACTGGCCATTGTACACAAGACCAGCCACAATGATCTGGGCTTCAACAGCTTTTCTTTAC